TCCTAAATTCATCACCGAAGTTCAGACAGAATATTGCACAATGGTTCCACATAATTAATTATTAAACTATTTCTGATAGTGTATAGACAAGGACCACTGTAATATTGAATTCATAGGTAACTGTTTTTTGGGTTTACATAATGGGAACCTAATTAATTAGCACGAAAATAAAAAGATTATTTTGCCTCAAAGTTTAGTATAACTCACTACTACACTATGCTCCACAAAATCAATTTGATGGTGCTGTTCTGTGCCATCTTCTGGTGTACTGAGAAGCAAGTATAGTTGCATTAGAGTTCCCGGACCATTCTTCTTTACAACCTTGATTTCTCCTCCCATCTTGTTAATCTGTAATCAACAATACTATCAAATAAGAACAAAATTGAAGATTTACAGTGGACTACATAATAGTGATTCATTTGAATTGGTTTTCATTTGCCTTCTGATACACTTTATGGACCTTAGTGTGCATTCTTGTGTAATCCTGAATATTGAATGGCGTTATAAGACATTATTAATTACCAAAACTTAGAGACACTTTACTCACCAAGGTTCTTACAATGCATAGTCCAAGACCAGTCCCACCATGCCTGAAAATGGAAAAGGATTTTAGAACAAATCTCTGAAATTTCAGCCCTAAACTAGTCCACGGGTATCTTTAACGTTTGATGTAACTCTATGTTCATTTTTGGCAGCTGGCCAGATTATAATATGAAACTTGCTTTAATTACTTACATTCTAGTTGTTGAAGGATCAGCTTGCTCAAAGCTTTCAAACACAGTTTCCCATTTGCTTGGGTCAATTCCTGCAGATCAGGAGGTAAGCCTGGTGTTGGTAACCTCAGAATTGAAGTTTTCTAAATGCAATAGGTACAAAGATCTAAAAAGTTTCAGTCTATTAAGGTCCATACCACAGCCTGTGTCATCAACTTCAAACCATAGAATCACTTTATTGCATTTCTCACTGTCCATATGGTTTCCATTTTGCTTCAACTTTGTGTTTAGTGTAGACCGTGATTTCTTCTGATCAGATGGAAACATTCCAGCATCACTAGCCATATTAGAGCTCTCACACCATCCACGAAGGATAACATGGCCAGCTGGAAGCCATTGTAAATTGTTAAATCATGCAAGGTAATTTTATACATTATTGTGTTCATATGCCACATAACAGACAATAGCTGGCTAAGAAGGATACGTGTCCATGTTTAAATTTTCTTTCCTTAACATAAACAATCTGACATTCTTTTCCTTTTTTAATTTTCTAACACTTAAAGATTAGTTTACTTGACAAGGGTAATATGAAACCCTGTTAGTTCAAGTGTATGCCATACAGATCTGCCTGTTGTTGATTGATATAAATAAACTGTTTAACTTACATGTTGTAAACTTGATGGAATTGCTTATCAGATTACTGAAAATTTGAACTACTCTAGCAGAGTCTCCTCGGACTAACTTAGGAATATCATCTGAAAAAATAAACAAGGATTAATAATGATGTTCATATAGATAACTATCAGTTTGATTGGCAAGTCATTTCTAACACAGAAGATTAAAAGTCATACCAGAGAGATCCAAAACAGCCTCCACATTGTGGTTAATGCACTGTACTGAGAACATATCAATAAGCCCTTCAAGTTCCCGTCCCAAGTCAAACTCAGCTTCTTCTAAGATGAGTTTTCCAGATTCAACCTATACAGATGAAAACAATTATCCTTTTTTTTTTTTTTTCTTTTTTGTGGCCATCAAATGGAAACCATGATCAGAAAATGAATTTTCTTGTTAAGATGTGAACTACTAGAGTAAAGTCCTGTTGAACTGGTTATCACCTAAATTTTATTACTCGTCTCAACAAATGAAAAGTAAAGCTCCTCAAAACTAAACCACCATATTAATTGTATTGGAAATTTTCTTTTTCTGATTGAGGTTGTTCTTTCGACTGTAATCTAAAGTTTTTATGTCAATGGATGATTAATGTTTGAAAAAAAAAAAAAAAAAGGGAAAACGAAACTCCTCTTTCTCCTTAGCAGTGATTCTGTTTCTCATTCTATTTTTCCTTCAATTTTTCCCTTCTATCTCACCTTGCTCAGATCCAATATATTGTTAAGAAGCCGGAGAAGAGCTGTTGAGCATTTTCTGATTTGAGTAACTGTTGCATATTGTTCATTCGAAAGACAATCATCACAAATAAGAATATCCAGCAATCCAATCACAGCAGCCATAGGTGTCCTCAATTCATGACTGTGGTAGAACAGAGTAGTGTTTAACCTCCCATAAGTTTCAGATATAAAGTATTGAAGGAAGTCATTAAATGTCTCAAGACAGGTTGAATTGCAGAAAATTGGCAAGATAGGGTTCGAACATCTTGTTTAAGAAGTTATAATGTACTGATTGTTTCTGAAGAAAGTTAATTATAAAGGAAAAAAATTCTTGAAACTGAATTGCTAACCTCATATTTGCTAGAAATTGGCTTTTGTAATTGCTTGATGCCTCTGCTTTCCGTCTTGCATCAAGATGGCTTATAAGCTCTGCTCTAAGTTTCATTTCCTTTGATACTCCATTTGTCAGTATCAGAATGCAAACACATCCAATGACTAGGATACAGAGAGATGCAGAGATCAATAAGACTAATGTCTTCAAGGCCATCTCATCCACCTTCCCCATTATATTTTTTCTCGGAATGATGATAACACCCACCTGCGCAAATTCAGAATGGTGTTAGTACTTTCTAAATCCTGCTAGATAGCAGCTGCTAAACATGTTTCTGGTCATGTAAGGCCTAAATTCTATGCTAAGAAAATAAAATATTGATAAGACATACCATAGGAAGTCTTTTTAGATTTAAGAAAAATAAGTCAATGTAATATTGCTGACGGTCAAGCTCGGCATTTTCTACTTGAACTACATGATGTGGAGGCAACTTGTTTCCATAGGCTTTCTGCAACCACCGAGCTCCCATACGTACTACAGGGTCTTCCGAATCAACGGCCAACATAAGCTCAGGTCCTTTTGTTGTATTTGTTAACAAAGGAGCATCTGTGGAAGTAGCTAGTAAGTAACCCTCTCGAGTGGTCAGATAGATGTATCCGCCATGAACTTCAACAAGTTCTTTCATTAGCTGTCCTACACTATACAGTGCTGTAGTGACACCCACAACAGCCACTATTCTTTCATTAGAAGGATCCAACACTGGTAGTGCTGCTGAAAGCAATAGTGAATCTGTATGCTTGCTTACTGCCACATGCCACGAAGCTGCACCATCAGGTACCTGGGAAAGGCCTGCTATATTGATCAAGTCATCTGGTGGAACTGGCTTTGCCTTTCCTATCTTCTCCCCTGTAACAGGATCGAGTTGTTCCTGATACCAGATTGCAGAAAGGTTACCATGAATGGATTCATTATCCCACCCCTGATGCGATGTCAGCATATTGACATCATAAGAACCAGTAGCACTGATTGAATAATTTACAAGGTCAGAGTATATGTAGAATGTGTTGTTACTCCTGTGATCTCTATGGAATGCCTGGACAAATCCATTCCTGTAACTGATAGTTATTGCATTGAGAGCTTTATTGCTTGAAAATAGGGCCCATGTTACATCCCTCATCATTTCATAAAGCTGCTAAGGAGTACAAGAAGAAATAGAAAGAGAGTTACTGAACATTTCCAATGGGTTCCAAGATTTAATTTTAATGGGATCAATTATTCAAACAGAATGAAGTGACTTAAGGACCAACCCCAACTTGTTCTGCCTGAGTTGTGGCTTTGCTATACCGTCTGATTACATATTCTGACAACTTAACCTGGGCAGTTGTTATTTCTGAGGTCGAATTTAAGACGTTCCACATTCGCAACATGGGCCGTTGTAGAAGTTCCAAACGGAGACCAGATGATAAGGTGTTCAGGGATCTTGTTGTATAAACTTTTGTAAAATGCCATGTTAATATTGTTAGAAGCCCTATCAAAACCGCTAGCATGACCTGCATAAGATATTAGCAAAGCAATGTGTCAATAAACCAAAGTGAACTAGTGATGTCTCCAGATATACGCAGAGGTAAAACAGTGCACAGTCTGGTTATCACAATGGAATTTGGCTTGTAGAGAAACAAAAAGTTGCTATTTTGATGAAGCTAAAGAGACATGGGAAGACATTAGGCCAACACTAAAATAGCATTACCCTGCTCTTAGTTAGCAGAGTAAAGAAACAGAGTAGCATTAAACCATTATCCAAAATGAAGTCTGATTAAACAGGCATACCAAACCAAGTTGAAGGAACCCAGTTTTTATTACCTAGACTCCTAAGTTACATATACAAGTTCTATCAAATTCTATACAAAAATTGAAATGCAAAAGCAAACAGGGCAAAAAATTTTGCTAACCATGATAGCAAGGCGAGCTACGAAGACACTGTAGTATGACGAGAGACAATAAGTACTTGCATGCTGGAATCCTTCCTGTTCCACATCCCCATGGAAAATCCTGCGCCTAGGTGGAACTGCATTCCTTTTACAGGTCATGGCCAAACCTGAAATTCTGTCAAATACCTTCCTCAGTGGAGTACCCATTGGAGAGGGTAGAGCTGGTGAAGGTTCAGAACACCTAGATGAGGTTTCATTCACCTTTTCTGCCATTTCTGAAACAGTATACAAGAAGAAGAGTGAGAAGAATTTATGTGCATGCCTGTGTATCTATAAGTGCTAGAACAAACGTGTCATTTCCAACTTTTTGAAGGCAAGGTACATCTTCTTCCAATTATATGAAGTGGGGGTCTGTAGTGTTTTACTCATCCACCACATCTTTTTTGACATTAAAGTCTCCTTTCCTTTTTCAACTGCCTTTTCCAAATTGTACCATTGGCCTACAATAAAAATTAGTGGCACCCAGATTTAAAAAGGAACCAAAGCTTATCGTCCGATTATAAAACTACTACTTTAGAATTTCCTCAAAGGATAATACTGATTACTGAACTTAATGTACTCCTCTTATATCATGGAAGAATAGTAACTATAGCAACATGTTGGCTTAAAAGAAGTTGTCAAAGCACCTCAAACTCATCAAGATAATCAGTGAAACTATTTTCAGTCAGTTCTGTTTAGCAATTTCAACCCTTTTTTCTGGAACTACTGAACATTTAAGAAACATAATATTGGTGATAACTTGGGTGATATGATAATGATACTTGATAGTTGGACGACAGCATTAAAATTCAAATCAAGACTTAATTCATGCACGATTTTAGTGCACCAATGTGGGTGACTGACTTTCCAATTCTGATATAATTGAAAAGGGTCTTTCGGTTTGTTATGATTACCGCATCTTTGCTTTCCTGTTGGGTAAAGAGTGTGGTAAAGGCCAGAGGATGGTCCTCCCATTTTTAGCCTATGTTCCCCCAAGAAAAGTAAAAACTAAATGATACCTCGGAATATAACTGGAGAGAATTGATGCTCATTGGACTGATAGTGGACTACTTTAAACGAATTCAAGTACGAGTCCCACCTATTCTTGGTCAAAAGAAAAATAAAAATGAGAAGATGGTGGTGCAATGGTATCCATATTTAGTGGGTAGTTCACACTTAACAACAATCCAATGTAAATAAAAAGCTAATTGGGAGCAGGTGGTTAAAGATTAAAAAAGATCATGAAGGTAAATGGGCGTGCACTAAATGTCCATCATCTAGAACACAGATTTAGTGACTCCACCTCACTAATCCATCCATCAGCCTCCCCTGTATGTAAAGTTGCCTTATCACTTTATTAGGCAGCCACTTCAGCATTAGTTCTACTTTAGGCAAACATGATAGAATGCCAATAGATTTCCATGCTTTTTCATATTCTTATTGCATAGCTTAAAGGTTGGGAAAAACAAGCAGCAGTGTCATCTTCCATTTCCTTTGTTCTCACTAAAACGATAACAAGCTAGTAGGTCATCCTCTTTTTACATGTTGCTTCATACCCAACGTTAAATCTTTGCAGATTGTTCTACCGAAAAAACAAATCCTTGCAGATTGTGTTATATATTTTTATCCATATATACAAGTTCGGTCATGGCATATCCCCTTGCCTTTATAATATTTTATTTTTCTTTCTTCTAAAAGGGGAAGGGGGTTGGTAGTGACTAGTGAGTTTAGAGATCATTTTATAGGTATGATCTGCAATGTGATAAATCTATGTCATGGTTGCAGATTTTGATGGGGTATGAGAATCTCTTGCACAAGTATAATATCAAGCATTAGATGTCATCAATTTGTTAAAAAAAATGATATGATGAATTGCACTGCTGTTTAGCTCATGCCTCAATGTATTGTCTCCTTTGATATATGAATCTCTTAATTTTGTCCCAAAAATGAAAAACTTATGACAGGAATGGGTTGTGTCCCATTAATAACACACAACTACCCTATTACTACCAACGAGGGGTTGAATTAAGTGGTAAGCGGCTTGTTCCAGCTTAAGCAAAATCTTGAGTTCGAGCCCTTGTGTATGCAGCAGACCCCGCTGGGAGACTCACCCATCATTTCCAGGTGTGCGACGCGGTTCGGGTCCGGATTAATCGAGGCGAAGCCTCGAATACCGGGCAGGAAACCAAAAAAAAAAAAAAAACTACCCTATTACTATCAACACATGTAGAATATTTCCTACTCAACCATCGAGAGATATAGGTTTGTGAATCAGACAAGGAAATCAAGAGCATTGACGATTTGGTTTCTAAGGGAAGGCATTTGATTCTTTAGTTGGGCTAGAAAAAAGTTGATGTGAGCATTTGGGGGCTGTTGTTGCCAATTTAAAGGAAACAATTAAACAACACGTTATAATCAAAATACCTTTTGGGTAGGAGATGATGTTGGTGCTCCATGATAGCAGAATGACCGTGCTGAGCTTCAGGACGTAAACATGGTCTAGGCATGGCAATCTCCCAAGGATTGTGAGGTTCACCATCCAGGTATTTGCTAATCGAGTACATATTTATCTTATTTGGTTTTTGGATTTGGTCTGCAATGGATTGTGGTCCAGCATCAATGCATCAGTGATGGGTGTTTCGGAAATGTTTGAATTCAAGAGAATGCGAAGCCAAAGGCAAAAAACCACGAGCAATTTGACAAGGGAATAGTTTAGCAAAGTGAAATTATGAGCATCATAGACAAAGAAGACACTTCACAGTCAAGAAGAAGAAGAACAGAAATGGTGAGAGAACATAACTTTGAATTTGCCACTTTGATGAAGGGAAAAGTTGAAGGTTGTGACAGATTTCAAGTTCAAATCTTTCCATTCCTGAAATGTTTATACATCCTTGTATAAATAAAAAGGACATTATGCTGAACTTCAACTATATATACCCAACAAATTCTGCCTGTATCATGTAAATCCTGTGACCCTCACAGATTATCTGGAGCCCTGATTCAATTACAAGAAACAGATTAGAAATGCAGTCTCTAGGGGATATTTCTTGATATTCATAAAGCATACGAATACAGTGCAGTTGGCATTTTGTGGAAAATAGTGTCTAATACCAGTGATGCGATGATGAAAATAAACGAGATGGCATTCCATACCTAACAAAATAGATATTTGTCCTCTAGCCGCTGCAAACTGGAGTGGAAGGGAGAAATCTTGGATGAACAATTGAATATGATGTTTAACTAATTTACAGACAACATTTGATAATGAAATCCTAGAAAAATAAAATAAAAGCACTATCACTGAAGAGTGCGGATTTTTGTTTGTTTGGATCGTTACTAGTCCACTATCTACAGAAAAGGACTTCTTTCAATGTACATAACAACTGCTAGGCAATGTCAATTCTGAGTGCTAGAAATATGATATAATATCAGTTGTCAATCAACAGAATTAGGCCAAAGGATATGATCAAGCGACAGAGACAAATTAGATGTGAATCATATGATTGAAACATCTGTCTCCAACTCAAGTAGGTAAAACAAAGGAGGCCCTAAGCTGCTGCTGATTCTTGTCCAGGTAATTGTCACCTCTCTATAATAAGACTTAAAAGAAGTTTTCAAATTATTGCCATGAATAAGCAAATGTGTCAATGGAGATTAAAGAAAGAATAGTTATTTTACAAACTACATATGCACATGTGTAACAGCATTATCTAAGACAAATTGCACCAGAATTAGTCATTCATGAAGCTTTGGAGGTGAATGAATAATACCAAGATCTCTACCACTTCATTTCTTAAGGCATGATAGAAATTACTTGGAACTCTTAGCCTTATGCTCAGCAGCTGCCTTAACTGCAGCTTTAGCTAGCTTGCTAGGTTTTAAAACACTTTTGGGATTAAGTGCCTTTCGAAGCTTGGATGCAGCCCAAGCAGTCCCTATAGCATGCCCTGCAGCACCGAGTCCTTCACTTGTTGCCTCAGCAACTTTGTCCCCATACCTGCAGGATAAACAATATAAATTCACATTCAAATAAAAGTTATTACAGAAGCAAAAGGGAAACCATTATTATTGTTTGTTTGTCTCTTAGTTCAGTTAATATTTTGTTGTTCGTTGTTCTAAAAGATATATCTACATCTATATCTATATTGAGACTTCCTCCTTTTTTCCCATGTTGCTCAAAATTCACCATCTGTTATACATCTGATATACCTGTGTGCGACAAGGTCAGTAGTCACAGTGGAAGATGTTGCCATCACATTTTTTCCAGCTACTTCAACGGCATCACATACTTTGTCTGTTAACAAGTAAATCAGACCAAAAAAAAAAAAAAAATCAACCCAAATTTAAAACTGTTAATCTGTTTGATACAGGAAGCAATGACCACATTGATATGATATCATAGAATTTCTATATAGAGAATTAGGAACAAAATGAAAAACTAAAGACGTAAAAGTGCCCCTAGCTCCCAAAAAGCCCACAAATCTTTAACTTCAAATCTAGACAAAAACTACAAGCCAAATGGGGCATGCTCCAATTAAAGAGGATATTTTGGCAACTCAGGCAAGCTGAGAAAAATGGACAGACTAGATTACCAGATATAAGCTACTGTTGTGAGCATTTAGATAAAACAATTAACTGGAAGGGCTAATGATGCAGGGCAGACTGGGCAAGCCATCCCATGCTGTAAGAAGTCAAAGTATCATGGAAGACACTGGTAGAAACAAGTTAACACTTTCCATGAAATATCCTCAAACACAATACCATGTCACAAGCTTGACAATCCACACTGAAATACAGAAGAGTGCAGTTCTATTCAGGCATACTCGATCAACCTATGGAGAGAGCAGAAGTTATTCTGAAGGGTCCATGAAACTCCCAAGTTGTTTTTTTTTTCTTCTTTCCTAAAGAAATTGTGGGATAGAGTGAACAGAACAAATATGATGTATGTATTAAAAAAGCATACAAAGCAAGAGCTAAGGATGGTGACATACTGAATCCATCCAGGGTTGCAAGAATCATTTCCCCAGGCAGGAGACCAAAAAATTTCTTGCCTGCCTTTGAGTTTGCGAGTTTGCTTGAGAAAATTCCAGAAACTTTCACAACTCCAGCGAGAACCCCATTTGCCACTTTCTCTGTCCTTTTTGTAATCCTTTTAACCCTATATAAATGGTCAAACCAAAATATTAGAATAAAACTAAAACAGAAGACCAAAGGAAATGGAATCAACTGTGGTTACATTTCCCCCATACAGGCTTAATGATAAATCATATAGAGTAAAATAACTTCCAAACAGTCAACTTTTGAAACTTTCCACATTTTCAAGCATAGCATCTTAGGGAATAATCATAAAAATTATTCAAGTAACACAGAAACAGATGATATATTGGTACAAGAATCTTCTCTCATTTTCCTCCTACCTTACAAAAAGCTGTCTCAAAGTTGTATCATATCATATTGGCTCACTGCCTTTCGGCTTCCCACAATGTCAAAATTTAATGATTTAGAAATTTTATCAATAACAACAATCTTGCTGCCAGCTATAATGTAACATATATTACCTTCTAGGCTCTTGAAAACACAATAAATGGCTTCTGGTTATGGAAGATAAGCAAAACTAGTTTTTTAAAAAATTCAACCAAAAAAATGATCTTCACACCATATTTGTGATGTAGATTTCCCTTCAACAGCCATTTAAACATGGTGCAGGACTAATGCAAATACAATGACAAGATAGAAAAATGCATGAGAAAGTAAAACAATGAGGTCAAAAGTAAACTCAAGACCAACATTATTTTCTTACCTCCGTATCCTCTTCAATGTCTCTGGACTAATTTCTGCAGTCTCACCTGGAGTCATCCTCTTCTTTAGTACCTTATTTCCCCATTTCAACCTCTCCACAGTCACATCTCCACACCATAAGATCCCTTTGATAAGATGCCCAGACCCTGCTGCAATCACCTTTGCTGCAGTCCCACTGTAATCCTCCACATTGGGTGCCAGTGTGGTCCAGTAAGCTGCAGACCTCTCCTCCATCACTTCCTTGGTCTTCCCTGACTTCAAATCTGTGGGGGAAGTATCCCTGGCTGCGGCCACTGCCCCATCCAACACCTCTTCTCCCTTTTCCTTCACCTTCTGTATTGAAAAACAGCTATAACTCTGCAATATACCATCTAGTTCTCTCACTAATGCCTCTTGGCCTTTAGACACAATCGTCAAACCATAATTAATCATATTCAGATCGGAGATCGAGCCGGAGCCAGCTTTTTTCTTTGATTCATCGTCTTCGTCTTCATCACTGCTAGAGTCGGATTCTTTAGGGAAGCGCATAGAGAAGAAATAGTGACATTCATCCAGTTTAACAGCAGCTCCATCTTTTGTTAAAGGCCACTGGATTTCATCCCCGACGCGAGCAATTACAGCCACGAGGTTTTGGCCCTGGAAGATTCGAAGCACGGTCAGATCGCCGCATCCGAGCTCCACGCTGTAGGATTTATCAATCAGATGAAGGATCGCACCCGGAATCTTGATTAGGACCTCCTCCCTGGCCACTGTTGGCTCAGACGGCGCACTCACATAAGGGCAGTTATTATGGTGGTTTCCCGCACTGACGGGCGACTCGGGAAACAGGTTTTCGAGGAGGTCGCGCATGTCGATGGTAGGGTAGAGGTTGCCAGGGGAAGACGGCTGATTGGCGGATATGGGGTTCGATTGAATCACATCCGGATAAAGGGACGGTTTCAGATTAGGGTTTTGAGAAGCCATTGCTGCGCTATCTGAGAGGAATGAAAGCTAGGAATAATTAGGGATCGGAAACGCCCGTGGGAGAGGAAAGTGGCGCGTGAAAAGCACGTACAAATTCCGCGTGGGTTAGAGCAGTTACACTGTCTACAGAACTTCCCGCGCTAATACCGGTAAAAACGATTTTTCCTTCTCTTTTACCAAGAGTTACCGCCTTTTATCTATGATCGTTATAGCCACACTTCTCGTGAAGAAGCAAGTGAGGGTACCTTGGTGTTCTTCGTGTTAAGTTTTAAATTTGACATTTTCTCATTTCTTTAGTGCAAATATTAATATTATCAATGTAATTTTTATTTTCAAAAAAAAAAAAATAGACACATTCTCCATTAATAAAGTTACTTATAATTGAAAATTGTCGAAAAAAAATATTTTATTGGTTATTATCATAAGATGTTCATGTATTTAAGCACACAATTTGCTAAAATTTCAACAAAAAAGTGCGGATCTCCATGGGACCAAGCTCGACGATGAGGTTTGAGTTGTTGACAGGGCCACCTCTGATGGGGGAGGCCTCCGTCCCATTGCTGCCATCTACTTTCCATGTCATCTTCTTCATCTCTGACTTGACTTGGTTTGTGGTTAAGCTCACTTCTTGCAGCGCCTTTATCTACAGTTACAATTGCATGACAGTTATTCTGAGTTCAATACAGGAGTTTGAACGGTTTGGTATTCTTGCAATGTTAGGAATTCTTTAAATGCAATGAAGAATTGAGGGATGTGAAGTTCAACTCGAAAAAGGTCAATTTTTTGACATCGAAGATCATGTGATGCCCTAATCAACATAGACAAGAAGATACATACCGATCTTCCATTGAACATCTTCTTGAGTTCAACATTGGCCAGGGTTGAATAATGGGGATCTTCACCCTCCTGAAATCATTCATGAGAAGAGAACAGTGTATGAGATCAAAAAGGACATTACAACTGCAGGCATTTCAGTATTGGGGGCAATGCAGTATGAAGGAGGATATGGGACAACCTAGAATGGGATTTCAAGTGAGACCCAATAATGGAGGTATTAAGCAGAAATGGAAACCATGAATCTTTTTCACCAACCCTTACAATTTAACTTTTAATCATTCATTCATTTCAATGGTAATGTAAATGAGCTCATGGCACATGTTTGCTTACTTCATAAAGATGTGCCAGACGAAGGAGCACACTTCCCTCTTCCAGTTCCTGGAAAAATAGGATTTTAAAAGATTGAAGGAGATTAAAAGGAAAATGTTTTCTATAGTGAATTAAAATTTGTCACCTGGAGAGTAATTAAAGCAACGTTGGGAGGCAAACTATAGCTTGGATCCATGGCAGTTGCTTTTGTCAAATGAGATGCAACCCAGTTCTCCATTTTCTGAAGGATCAATCATTTTTGAAACAACAAGGGGTGTTACAAATTTATTCAATCAAAATCTGAAGCATTTCATCTACTCTCTGAAACAATCATGACTTATACCTCGTATGTAAAAGCTAAGAGTAGAGGTGAGTAAACTTCTTGACCAGTTGTGCGACGCCATTGTACACCTTCCCCTGCCCGGTTGATGCTAATATAGTAGTTTCCTCGAATCTGAGACAGCACTTCCAAATGAAATATTAGATGAAGCAAAGCTGCTATGCTAATTGCTTGTATGAGTAGAAGGGTCATTGTTTTCCAGAATTGTTCATTGAGAATTGGTCAAGAGGAGAAAATCAAGCATGAACGAAGGAAACTTAAATTATAAAGCATAAAGTACTGTTACAGAGTAAAATTGTACCGTAAGTCCTTCACACGTAGTTCCAACACAGACAGTCTCATCAAGGGGATCACCCACTCCTCTGGCATCATCATGAAGTATCCGCCTAGCAAGTTAGAAAGGCAAATGAGGTTAAGGATCCATATCTATGTTCAAGGAATATTAGACAAATATTACACATGCATGCTGAGATAATGATAAAAAGGAAAAAAATTAGACCTGTGAAGCATTAATTCTACTTCTCCATCCTCAATACTGGCTCCTCCAGTGGCACGATCAACCAAGACTGAGAATTCAGATTTCCCATCCGTAGTATAAATTCCAAGGTTAAGCTGGAATTTTTTTTATAAAAAAATAAACAATGTAAACACATTTGATACCATGCACTGTCATACAGAACATCTATCTTTTCTTTTTGACATAACTATACTAGTCATCTAAACTTAAGTTCAGGGCAGAATATTACTGGATAATAATTCCCTGCAACAGGTTGAGTAACCGTAAGGGGCCAATCTTCTCTGTAATCTCGAATCTGAAAAAGAACCGTGATCATAGAAATAAGATTATAGGCCGCCAGAATAAAGCAAGTAGCAACCTCATAACAGTACAGTACAGAAACAAATGCTACTAGTAAAACAATAGGAGAGAATAGAGATCATGAATAGCCTTTTGTAAGATATTAATATTGATAATGACCCAATATGTGGACACATCCAGGTTATTAGAATCTTCATTGCAATAACCAACAAACGAAATTTTGCTCTCTCAAGCTTCTCAACACTTCCCAGCAGACATGCTTTCCAAACACTTTTGAGGGATTAGTTTCCAGTCTCTAAGATTAATAGTTTCATGGTTCAGTTATATCTCATTATCGTCGTTAGCAGGCATTTTTCAGTTAGCTTGGTGCTATATCAACCAACAGCAGTTACAGCACACTAAATTTGGTTTAAATAGCTAATATTGATCTAAATAGATAAAGATTTAAGTTAGGCATCTACTTCCACTACTTCATTGTCAAGCATTTGACCATATGAATAACTGCAAATTGCAAAAAGAGAGATAGATACCTTAGCCACATATTTGAGTTAAAATCCAATGAATATGAATAATTATTAAGACTTGAAACAAAAGCATTCCTCAAGCCAGGTTAAGATATTCATTAATTTTTCTTTTTATCTGCAAAAGATATCATTAAGTATATAATGAAGTATATTTGCCAAGGCCTTTGAAAAATTTTCTAAAGGTTATCAGTATTTAAAGAGAAAGGTCATTCCAAGAATTACCCGCTTTAGAAAGTCTCTTCCATTGGAATCAGTATAAAACACCTTGTTTGTAGCCATATTTGCTGTCATTCGAGTAATGACCTCCTTTCCAATGCCATCATCAGTGGGAATTGGACCAATCTTCAAGATAGAAATTTGTCAAAACCACTTCAGACTTGGCAAACCATAGAAAAAATGCCAACTACCATACATTGAGCAGATGCAATAACTGATCAAGTTAAAGTACTATTTTGCTGTTAGGGAAGATTTAAATCCAGGGTTATGAGACTTACTGTGAATTCAACTTCAGCATGTTCTTTGTTTTTGTAAAGTCTGGTGACCTGATGAACAGTGATGAATAAAATGTATTACTATTTAACACACATCACCAAAAGATAAAATAAAAATAATAATATCAATTTCACAGTCTCTTGCAATAAAAGTTTCTTCTTCGAATTTTATTTTTTCCCAATTGCATCTCTAAACAGGCATATACAGCAGTCTGCATGCTTGCTATTCTGTGTTAGAAGATCATTTTTTTGGCCGTCTAAAAGTAAGATCATTAGAACGCCTAAATTAGCATATTTGGGGCCTTGTAATAGATATTAGTCTCAAACCAAGGAAGTAAACACATAAACATTAATAACCTGGTAAATCCAAGAATTAAACTGTTGGTGAACCTCATCAACCAGTGGTCCACGAATGACCTTCAGAGGGACCTGAAAATCAAATAAAATTACTCTCAATAAAGGATACTGTAGACAACCAATAAGTCATTATTTGAAGTTAGAAATAGTCAATAGGCTCTGTTAAGAGAAATGCAGCAAGAGATAAAGCAGAATGGTATAGAGTTTGGAAAGGCCCAGTTGATTGATGACTATAGGATGATCTAGATTTATGTTTCCCTATCCATTTCTTTTCTTAATCAGAAAACTGATGATATGATGGGCACATTAAAGTAGAAAAAATGAGGCTTACTGATCGGGAAACAATATTTGGAGGGCCCCCATTTGGTCGGAAAATATATGCACCAGAAGCCTGTAAGAAGGATTTATAATTGGCATTTCAGCGACTCAAAATCAACTTAAACTTATGCACTCCCACTTTCCAGGGGAGAAAAATCATATGGTCCTAGTGCATGATCCCTTACCTGGCGATCAGAGTCACCTGGGCTTGAACCATACCAGAGATAGCTCTGCTGTATTGGGACATCAACCTGGTAAAATGGAAAATAACATCTTGATTTCCAAAGATAACTAGACTACAGAACATCTCCATAAAAGGAATATAAAGACCAATGCCAATGGCAAAAGGAAAGGAGATTTATTGATAGCTCCTCTATCCAAATGAAAGAAAGCGAAGGAGAAGTGAAAAAAGAACACAGTGATATCTTTAAAAATGAAAAATGGACAGCAATTTATCATTGTGGAAGTAAATTATATGGTGGCTTTGATAAATAAGAAATTTCATGCACACAGAATGATCTCTCTTACCAGTCCTCCACATTGACCATTTTAAAAAATTTTGATGGTATCTCAGTTTCACAGCTTATCATGCATAATCCATAAATCACCAGACTTTATCACATGATCAAAGTCTTGAAAGGTGAAAAATCTTACTCCTGTTCTAGTATTATACATCCGCTTGAGTTGGCCAGAGGTTAAAGAAAAGACCATTTTTAAATTTCCACTTCCAATTTCAACTGAATCACTCTGTGGACTGTCTGTCACTGAGACAACTCCAATCCTGTGGTCTCCTGTATCGTTGTGATCTAAAAATACAAGATAAAATAGTTAGTAGTCTGGTAGCCATACAACATGAAAGGTACTAGGTGAAGACTAATTAAAGGTTAATACACATTCAGCAATGGCCAGGGCTAAAAAGTGAAGAAATAATAGAACAGATCTACCTTTCCCAGCCGCTTTAGAAATGAAGTAAGTGTTCCAACCTAGTGGTGGAACAGATGCTTGAAAAAGTAACCAATACTGGGGAGCTTGATTTGGTGAGTATCCTAAGTAGGCCTTTGTATAGAAGTTCCTTAAATTTATTGTAACGTTATCCAGGCCAACATATTGTGTGTCAACAATATTTCCAGATGAGTCTCGGACAACAAGATCAGCATTATTAACCTGATAAATGTCATCACTTCTGAATCACTTTAGGGAGCAATTCTGCTTTTGTGAATAGACAAGAAGGTAGAATTGAGTAACATAAATGCCAAGAAAGTACAGAGAATCTGGATTGACACTTAATTATGAAATTAGTAATTAAATCAAGCAAGTATTAGAAATCTAAGGAAGAAAACCAGAAAACCCCCTTCTTAAGTGAAGATGCTTAAATACATAACGGGTGCGTCAAATGCCATGTGCAATGAAGCATGCAAAACCTCATGAACATCTAATAAAACAGTTATATGGATTACGAATGTATGCAGGCAAGATAAGATTCTTCCTAAAGCATTTGACACATTACCAGAAAATTCAATTATACAAGAAGAGACTATGAAAATGTACCTACCGGTATTCTAATAATGTCAGTACGCTTCCATGTGAGTGGGTTATAGGCAACAACTACCTGAAAGTGAGCACTCATTCAAAATGAATAAAAATAATTTTAGCTGAGTATAATTGAAAACTAAATCCTGAAGAATATACAAATATTACCAAACTCTTCCCTCCAGGAATAGCATCTTCTGTAGGAGGGCAGTAACTGATATTGATTAGTTGGCACTGTCAAAAATGATGGAAACAAGCAGCATTAGGCCAAGAAGAACAACTTAGTGACCAATGTTGGAGAATCAAAAATGGTAAAAAATATGATGAAATAGTTCAAAAATGCTATAGATGTCATAACTCCAGCCAGAAGAAGGATTATTTGTGGCATAAAGATAATAAGATTTTCAAGGTCATAATTAAAGCTGATGATGAATGTTAAAACAATCCAATAAACTACGACAAGCTTAACTACTAAATGACCACTCATTTGTGATTTTTACATGAAATGAGTAGAAGATAAGTTTCTCTTCATCCAAATAAGGAGACACTGAAGTCTCACCTGACTAAAAGCCAAAGCAGGAGCCTCACAGTGATCTCTGGATACATTATTAACTAGACATGAAAGAGCAGAACTGACAACACCTTCAGCCTGTGACATAAAATATGTTTGAATTGAAAGATATGATAAAAATTCATGATACATGAACAATAAGAATGCATAAAACAACAGAAAAGTCAGGAGGTTCGAACTCAGAGAGAAAGCTTCATCACTCACCTCAGAGGCTCCTACAGCCAGGCGCTTTGCCCAGTCATTTGTTGTATGCTGCTTGGCAGTACCAGTGATGGCATCATGGTGCTGTGCAATACCAAGAGCATCTCCTAGACTAAAAGTATTGGGACCACTGGATCTTCTTCCCACCAGGAACTCAAGTTGCCTAGCTGCCTATTCAAACACACAGAAAATTGTCTTAATACTTATGCATAATTTCATGTGCATGTGTGTGGAGAAGGAGAGAACACCAACAACTGCTTTCTCTCTGCATGGCACACATCTTGTGGCTTAGACTGAAAATTTTTCATGAGAAGACTAGGAAAAAAGTTTATCCTTATTTCATTCCAAATCAATGTGTAGTGAGTCTGCTGTCATACCAAATAATATCCACTAAGAATCCGTACATATCGCTTGAAGGCAGGGCGACTAGTGAAAAAACCAGTCCAATATGCATTTGTACTGTCTGCATAACTGCCACCAAATATTGGACACTAGTTAAAAAAAAAGAAAAAGAAAAATGAAAAGAATAATTGACTGGACAAGATAAAGTGATGCTCACGGGAAATAGTCATCAGTTTTAAGTGGCCATGATTCATTTGCAGCATTTTTCACATCAGTATAGATAGATGGTGTAGAATATAAGGCATTCACTCGACCATCCTGAGAATAAAAAGAAGTGCATTGAGTGATAGGAATGGAAAAGGTTGATAGAAATAAAAGCAGAATTGCTACTACATACCATCACAGTCTCTATAACAATTTAGACTAAACTAAAATTCCATAATAAGGCTAAGGGGTTCCAGTAAAGAAAGATATCAACTTTGAGAGAGTGTAAAAGAGTGGCCATAAATATAAGAGGAAACCATCATAATGAGAAGACAAAACAAAAGGGCATGGGGAAGTATTGCCACTACATACCATCACCGTCTCTATAGCAATTTAGACTAAACTAAAATTTCATAATAAGGTTATGAAGTTCCAGTAAAGAAAGATATCAACTTTGAGATAGTGTGAAAGACTGGCCATAAACAAAAGAAGAAACCATCATAATGACAAGACAAAACAAAAGGGCATGGGGAAACATATGTTAATTCTGAAGATTCCCATGCAATAGGAATAACTTAACAGACTTAGATTAAGCATTAAGACAGGTCTTTCAACCCAATAAAAACCATTCAATTGAAAAACCTGATGGTTGGGATAACATGCCTAAATTGAAAATAAAATGCTGCAACTTTGAAATTATATGGTGAAATTAATTTCATCATTGAAACTACCTTGTTAACATAGTGAATTAATTTGTCCATTTGCTTAAAATAGGATTCAGCATATTGGTACCGGAAATCATCACCCATTGTCCACATAATATGGTTTGTCCGCGTCACTTTTGCCTAGACATAATGAGGAAAAAGTCGTCATATTCATGCTTAAAATTTCAAATCTAGTGGCATGAATTGATAAAACACTCTCCTTGGTAGCCACATAAACAATTCTCATAGTTAAATCCAAATCAGTAAAAGGAGAAACCTAAAAGGAGCTGAGGTTTGTTGACCAAAAAAAGATGAGCTGATGTTTTACCTGGGTCATTGCAGTCTCAATAAAATCATTAACCCGTTGTTTGACATTGTAGTCATATATAAGAGGATCATCCTGCATTTATAACTTGAAACAGATGAGGCAATCCACATACAGGAACAGTGCATAGCATATAGAAGAATATTCTAGTTGATGTTAAAAACCTGGATGGGAATGATATCATCAGTTAGATCAAAGCCAAAACCATCAGGGGCGCTATAATGAACTGGAAAGGTATTGGAGAAAATCTGCAAAAGGTGAAAACTCGTAGTTAATACAACCAAACTCTTTCAGAAGCAAACTGTTAACATTGTAAGAGTAGCAGTTCTGAACCTGAGATGAAGAACCAAAGGTTTTAGACCCACGCCATATAACTTCTAGAGTTTTATCTGCTTTGCGCTTTGCTCTATCCTGATAGTCGATTCTTGCAAAATGAACAGAATCAAATCCTAGCTGCAGGATAATATGAAATCAATCAATATATGTAATCATTCCTTCAGCATAATTACATAGTGGGGACAAAAGTATCAATATGTGGCTTTGCATACAAAACCAATTTATAGTATCAGAAAAGCAAAACAGATCATGAAAAACATATTAGCCGCCAACAGTGTATTGGAATCATTTCACCATACAGAGGAAGTGAAGCAATTTCAAGAAAAGGATGCTGTTCCTAAAAGAAAATGCACTAATCAACAAAGCCATCATAAAAATGAGCACCTCAGCCACAAATAGGTAAGCTTGGACAGCAGAGTGCCCAAAAGGATCAATTTGCCAGCCAGCACGAGGAACCTTGTTGAAGTACCTCTTTATAAAGCGATGACCAAGAGTTGTCTGATCAATCATGTCTATGTAATGGGCTGTTGCTTCATCATGCATACACCAACCACCATTACTACAAACAGATGCAAAAAGGGCAGTCAAGCAAAAATATCCTACAAGTCAAGATCTCTTTCTCTTTCTCTCATATTTCATAAAGGCACACTAACAATCAAGTTAGAAGTTGCTTGACAATCACATACATAAATTCGAACTGGCCAGCAGCTACAAGTTTTCTCACTTTTTCTTGTGTTTCTGCACTTTGTTCTAGCCACCATCGATTGAAAAAAGCCTATCATCCACATCAGAGTTCATTAGATGATAGAAACAAGTTACTCGTAAACAAAATGCAAAAGAAAGGCAAAAATCAATTGAATTACTATCCAAGCTAACTCATTTTGATTTCAAAATTTAAAACTTGACCAGTTTATGAACATATTCTGAATCATTTATAAATTACACAGACCATTAAATTGACTGTAGCATGAACTTATATAAATCTTTAATCTCAAACTTCATCAGTATATCCATAAATCAACTCCAAATAAGATACTCAAAGTCAAACAATCAGCTGGGTTTACCATCTCAGCAAAGACAAACTTCCTATTGGGATCACGCTGCAATGATTCCACAACTGAGTCCAGCACATTCTTAACGCAAGCACCCTACACAGAAAAACACCAAAGAAACAACATTCCCGCCAAAAAAAAAAAAAAAATCATCATCAAAGCATCCTCGCTCAAGAGTATAAGAATCACAGCAAGACCAAGACAATGGAACCCAAAACCATAAAATCAATACCAGAAAGTATCAACATAAACATATACTCAGATATACGTGATGATGGACAACCTGAATACTATTGTTTGATCCAACATAGTACTGATCAACAGTCTTCAGCCACCCAACATCATCATGTGAATGTGAAACCAAATGAACATTCAATTTGTCTGGCACAATTCCAGACGCAGTATCGTACTTCAAATCAACCCCATTAACTATCCCACACAGACCACAAAGAAGAAGAAGAAAACAAGCTGTAGCTAAAGAAAAGGCAACCCTTTTCATTTCACCGATCAATGACTCACTCTGCGCAGTCAGTCTACAACCTCAACTACTAATTGTCAATATATGTGCCCAACCAACAAAACGTCAAAACAAATTATAGAATACTTGCAGTGAAACCTATAAAAAAATAATAATAATAAAAGATGCCATAAGTACGCCGACGGCATACCGACCAATCCACTTGCGTTTTTGCTCTGTCAATTTCTGCGGCCAGCACAGGCCATTACTGGGGGCGACCCCATCTCTGGACCACAGTTAAAAGAAGCAAGCTTTGACGGGCCTCTTTTTTTTTTTCTTTCTTTTCTTTTTTCATACATTCCATGCCTATTTCTGGTTTCCAATGATAGGCTGCGGGGATAGCAACCACCTGTCGGTGTGAATAAAAAAGAAGTTAGATTTGCTTAGTTGATAAGTAGAAAATGAAACGTTAACAGTGCTTTCTTGATTAGTTGATAAGTAATGTGTGATTACGGAATATTGAGACACTGTAAAAAAAAAAAGATATTTTTTTGTTCTGGATTGGGAAAGTGAATGGGTGTGGAGTTCACTATAAAATGATAGAGATTCTGGCTGTTTGGATGCATGTTGGATGAAGTCAAGGGTTGAAAACAAGTGTTAATGGCGGACCAGTTTGCTGTTAGATGTTGATATCGTCAATCGGTTTCTTGGATCTTATAGTGGTTGGAACGTGTATATAGCACTTTGGATTTTAATTGGACGCTACTGAAGAGGACATGAAATGAGAATGGGATATCCCACGGAGTTAAAGCTCATTTCATTTCAAGAACAGTAGTATAGAAACAAATTTTCTTTTAATTTTTATATAATTTTTAACGTATTATTAAACAAATAAATTAATTAAATATATAAAATTTTAAATAAATAAAAAAATTTAATTATTTAAATAATAGATAAGATAATATAAAAAAAATTATTTTTAAATAATTTTCTTTATTATAATATATTACATGCAAATTTGGTAACCTGTCATTGTGTTTTTTTTTTTTTTTTTCTTTCAGATAATTATAATTTAGTCTCCATCTTCATTTCTTTTTCTTTCAGATAATTAGAATTTGTCTTCATTTCTTTTTCTTTCAAATAATTAGAATTTATTTGATAAAACATAGAAAGTTACTGAAGTTACAATCTTAAAACAAAATAAAAGTAAAATTAGTTTGATACAACATTGAAAGTTATTGAAGTTAGATGATTGATGCAGACGTACAAACATTTAATTTGATTAGCCCGTTACATCACATGTCGTAGTTGTATCTTAAAAGCTGTTTAGCAAAGCTTTTTCGAAAATGGCTTATGAAGTAAATTTGTCTTCATTTCTTTGTCTCCTCACGCAATGTCCCTCTCGGTCCAACCTTAATGTTGCCCAGAACAACTTTAAAATAGAATAAAAAGTAAAATTAAATTAAAAAAACGTTTTTAAAAAAATGTGTTTAATTACTAATGAGTTAAATAATTTAATAATAATTTTTTAATAAAAATAAGAGATTTTAAATTTAAAACTACATAATATATGAATAAAGTAAATTAAAAAACCTTATCATGTAATTTAAAATAATAATAAAAAAAAGTGTTTCGTCGAGATTATTTTAATAAATCAAATAAAATAAGGAAGGACAAACAATCACTTATTGGAAATAAAGAAATGCAGCTGAGAAGTTTACCATTGCTAACTTTCTAGTAATTTATCTGAGAATGAATTAATGAAAAACTGATTAACAACAAACAAAGAGATGCCAATCACTAAATACTTTTCTGCAAGATGTTCCTAAAGTCATCCAGCAATAAGCTAACAAAATAGTGGGAGAACTCAGGATCCAAAACCTGACAATATTAGAAAAGCAATGCTAGAACCTCAAGACTTATCACTTCTCTTCCTCCTTGGATGTCTTATCCTCATCTTGCTTCTGCTGGGACTGCAACATTGCAACTTTATCAGAAAAACATGAAAAAAGAAAATCTAAAATGATATGTTGGACTAAATATGATGATAAAATGTTTTAGATTACTGGAATCTATGTAATATTTCATTTAACATATACCTCAGACTGGTCTTGCATTGAAGCAAGCAGCTCCTTAACTGAAGGATCATTTGGATCTACCCCTGGAAGCTGCAGAAACAGTAAATAACATTACATTACATGCGAAGCTGGATAAGTTATAATTAATTGTCTTTGAAGGGATTTAGGGAAAACATGAAAATAAAATAAATAAATGCGTGGAAAGACATACCGAGGAAAGAATGGAGGATACAAAGGACTGATCAGCCAACAACTTAGTTGCATTCTCCTGACTTGAATCTTTTGTGCTGTCCTGCACGGACAGTTGAAGAGCTGCAAGAATTGGAAGGAAATTAGCATATATATGGAAAAAAAATAATAATAAGGAAATAGGAATGCTCTAATTCTCTAAATTTTACATCTATGAAATCTTGATATTGAATCATTGAATTTTAAGAACATTTATGTGCTGCATGGTTCTTGCATGCATCTGTAAGTTCAGGTCCAGAGTAATTATTCATCCATGGTAACCCTTTTAGCCAGCAAAATGCTTCCAGGACATTCTTTGTCCATCGTTCAATATTAACTTATCAGGCTAAACAAATAAAAAATAGTGGTTTGTATATCACTTATCACCTATATGACCAACATTTTGCAAAGCAAGGAACTTTTTGTATCAAAAGTAGATAGAACGTCCAAACTCTAAAAAGAAAAGGGTTAAGCTTAACCGAAAGACTTGCCTAATGCCAGCTCTGGATCGTCTGCAGCTGCATCCGACATATCTGTGTCCCGTAATTCATGGCTAGAGGAAGGGTCATCCATGGACATTGCAAGGGCTTGTTGTAGTAGAGCATTCTCCACATCCTGTTAACAATACAAGGTTACATTCACACGTACAACCAACATAAGAGAATAGAGCACTTCAATCAATTTATTTCAATGAGCATGGCAAATAAAAGAGCAATATCTAACTGGAAGCTGATGACACTAACTGTTAAGTCATTTCTCTTGTCTGCTTCGGAAGTGGCAGCACTGGTTTGTTCTGTCATGGTTGCATCCTGTGAACTAGATTGCTGTTCCCCTCCCTTTTCCTGTTTAGCTGCCTCCTCTGCAGCCTTTTTAGCAGCAGCCTCTTGCCTGGCCCTCTCCTCTTCCATTGAAACTCTAAGGGCAAGGGCTAGTTCAGGATCTAAGTTGGGATCCACACCAAACTCAAAACCAGAGACACCACCAGCTGCAGCAGCTGCTGCTGCTGCTGCAAAACCACTTCCACCTTCACCATCCCCAGTGAAGATGGGAGTACTGCCATGAGAGAGGAATATCTTGCTTCAGTAACAAAACCATAATGCATTCAGTTGTTAGATATGGTTACCTGAAGAACATCAAACAACATACCTTATAAGGACATCAGAAAGAGCATTAGGGCCAGCAGCAACATGAACAATGTGGCTGGTATCATTATTGTTTACAGCAGCAAGAAATGCTTCTAGTTTCTCTGTCTTTCCTTCATCATCTTCACCAAAATTAACAATATCAAGTGCTACACTATTCTTTTTCAACTTCCTTCCAATCATCTCCAATGACTTCTTGTCGTGTTTGACAGGACTGAAAGTATTCCCTAGTAAGTCAATGTCATGGGAAAAAAATAATAATAATATGGATACTGTTGAACAGATAAAAAAGTTTACAACACACACCTTCCAGCAAAGACAATAATTCTTTGCTGCTGCTTTTTGTTTTGGCGATGCTTAAGAGCCAACTGAGCCACCTGGATCCCAGCAGCAAGGTTCATCTCGCCACCTATTTCTAAGCCTAAAATTGAAAGGGTCAAAGAATGGCTCAAAATGTTTAATATAGAGACCAAAGCAGAGGAGTAAGATAACTAAAAACCTTCTAAAGAGAATAATAAGAGAATATCTAATCCTTCCAAAAACCTAGAATTTGCTATTATGTTCTTACAAAACCTAATAACATTTAAGGTAACAGTGATACTATGCTCTTACAAACCTACCTAAACTGAAAAAGCAGTCTGACCTCTAGGAAGAGACTTCCAACATGTTATAAGACCCAAGAAGGCATGTTGTAAAAAATGAAATAAATGCATAATTGTTTACAAGTGTGGCTCTGGCCAACAACATTTGAGAAGCGTTAATATTCAGCAAATAAAGTGAATAAGAAAAACAAAAAATTTAGCTGTAACAAGCAACTAACCATGCATGCAAGCTAAGATCTTTCCAAGATCACTGGTAGGAGTAACCAAAACGCGAACCCCTTTCCCTGCCATTGTTAGAATTCCCACTGTATTCTCCGGGTTAGACTGTAAACAATACATCAAACACATATCCAAACTCAGCATTCAGCAAACCTTTTCTAGACTTCAACAACAAACTAAACCCCGAAATTCATTAAACCCATAATCAAAGTCAAAATTTTGAATAAAACCCATATATTGCAACGTAAAATTAACTCAAGACGAAACCCAGGTAAGAGCCACGAGAATCCACTTTCTTTATTTGTTCATTTGTTCTCTGTACAACCTAAAGATGAAAAAATGAAAATTTAAGCCAAAATAAGCAAAAATTCATTGCAGACCTGCGTTTTAGCTCCGCAAATAAGATTTATGGCGTCGGCTTGAGCTTGAAACCTAGAAGGAGCATAATCTCCATTTCGCATCCACTCCGAATTATCAATACAGATCATTGTCGCCTGCAAAATCACATAATTAGAAAGGAATTGGAATCCTAACTATGAGGAGATGAAGAGAAATCGGAGATCAAAGTTTACCTCGAGCACCATGGTGAAAGATGGAGAAGAGAAAAGGAAGGATCCAGAGAAATGGTTCTGCAACCTATCTGAAACAGGAAATGGTGTTTCCTAAGAAGCAGAGGATTCCTTTGTTTCCTTTAAATGGTTGGCTCTCAGCCAATAGGAAGACGACACGTTTATAATCACGGCGGCTTGAGGGAATAGGATGACACCACGTGTCAGCTTGATGAGTAACAGTATGAGGTACGGTAGTTTAAAATGTTGGGTAGATTTGCAGAAGAGGCCCCTAGGGTTGTAGCAAGTTTCACCTTTAAAAGCAAAATTTTAGGAAATTATATATTTCTTACCATACATTCATATTCAGAAGTGTTCATGTGGTTTGATTGGAATTTTATTATTTTTTAAATTAATTCAATTTAATTAGTTAATAAAATTTTTAAACCAATTCAATCTATTATTATGTGATAGCCAAGCCAATCTAATTTAATTCGGATTGTTATGGTTCGGTTGGATTGATCAGTTTTTAACATTATTAAATATATAAGATAATATAAAAATATTTTAACATCAAATAAAAAGTATAATTATAAAATACATTAACATCCAAATCAGTAAAAATATAATAAAAGGTAAAAATTATAAACGAATTCTTATACTTCTCTACATTTGTAAAAATTGAAAAACTCTGAAAATTCTTTTTGGTTGCATCACTAAAGACACCAAAAAAAAAAAAAAACCAAAAATTTCTACCAAAAAAAAAAGACACCAAAAACAACACCAAAAAAAAAAAAAAACCAAAAATTTCTACCAAAAAAAAAAGACACCAAAAACAATAAAAAATAATTTCAAATTTTTAATACAACGTAAATAACTTTTGAAAGTTAAAATTAGTTTTTTTTCTTAATATACTAATAATTTAATCTCATTTTCTAAATCCTATTAAAAGTGAATAACATTTAACATGAATATTACTAAAATTGATTAGAATCATTCAAAATCAAAATTTAAAACTTTTAAACAAAATATCTAAGAATAGTTGAATATTAAAACTAATTTTATGATATAGTTTTAAGGTTTTTAGAATGATTCTTATTTAAAATTTAGTTAGGAAAATCATAAGATTATTTTAATAATAAATTAAAAATTTAGGGTTCTAAGAGTAAATGCGTGAATCAGTTATGAGAGTATAGAATTGCAAGTGAATTAAAAATTAAAAATTAAAATTAAAGTGCAGGATTAAAATGGAAAAATAACTTAGGAAATATGGAAATATTTTATTTTTATTTTTCTTAATTAAGTTAATGGAGTTATAATCTTATAAAAAAAAAAAGAAAATTTAAAATACTACAAAAAATATGTTATATTATTTAATTAAATTATCTTCTAATAAGATTTTATTTTATAATTAAACAATTCAAACGGTTTAAAGGTAAAACTACGAATCAAACCAATTATATTAATTTTAAAATTTTAGAATTCAAACCAATTCAATTTTATATCAATTTGAATCGGTTTTTGATTCGATCGAATCAATTTAACTCAGATCAATCGGATTTAATCGAATATGAAAAACTATATTCATATGTGTGAAAAATAGTGTTATACAAGTCTGCAAGCTAATGAGTAATGACACGTAATAAGATTTTCTTCTAGCTTTTACAAAAAGAAAGAAAGAGAAGTTGAGAAAGTGGAATGACATCGATGCCAATGTTTATTGACTATCTTGATAATCATTGCTAGAGTTGTAATCCTGAAAATAAAACCAAAGTGGAACCTCCAACTTCCTATCATCTAGTGATTGTTGGTTCATGAAGTCATGTGATGAAGATGGTCCTTGACGCAGGAAGGATGCGTAATCATCGTTTGTTGGGTAGCCTTTTCCTTTGTAGCTTGTGGTGAAGCTATTGGAAGAGGAGGCTGTTCTGGAGAGTGCATTAGAGGAACTCTGCCTTTCCTTTGCCGTTTTTGTCCACTGGGATAGAGATGTTCTGACATTTTCGGAAACAACAGACCTTTTGAACCTTGAACCCATCTATAACCACAAAACCAGTATCAGATAGACAAAGATGGAGAGCTGAGCAAGAAGAATTGAAGAAACGAAAAACCTCTGCAATGATAACATAGAGGGGGAATGTCAGGAAGCTACACCAGCACTGGGATATGACCCTGCACAAACCAGTTGGTGAAAATGACATGAGCAATTGATGCCATGTTATGCATATGTATCACAGTTTGTCATTCGAAAGCAGAAAGGCTAAACATTTGTTACAATCATCAAGGACAATATAATGTAACAATGACATCACCCAAATGTCAAGCGTATAATCATGAAGATGCTGTTTTCCATGAAGCAAGTAGAATCCTTGATTTCCCACTGAAAATGAGACATAAAGCCAGCAACTTAACTGGCTAGCACGCTGATTAAACATTGAAAACTCAGATGGAGGGAAAGAACCAGAAAGCTTACTAGGGACCAAATAAAGGATGCCATCTCATATGCATTCTGCAAATGAAACTCTTATTAATGATGCGAACTGGAATGTACCGATAGAACTTGAAAGCAATGGAGATGTCATTTGACTCATTTCTATGCTTACTTGGAATGAAATAAATTGTATTAACCTCAAAACAAGCCTTGGCCTTCTAAACCAGAAGAGTTCATCCCTCAGATGGAATTTATGCTGTTGCATCCATGGAGAATTATCCACAACTTCACTAGCCAACATTATTACCACTCGGTGCAGTTTCATGCCAATTAGCAGTATTAACTTATACATGTGAGGAAGGAAAAAAAATGCGAAAACAAAGAAAGTTAAGAAAATGCAATGATAGGCAGCTAATAAAATTTAGTAGTCAAAGGAAATATGATGCTGAAGACTTACCATGGCTGGAAGAAATGAAAGGCAAAAGTAAAGGTCGCTTCCTGAAATTCAAAGTTTCAGGAAATTAAATTAAACTTATGCTTTTGATTAATGCTAAAAGAAATCATGTCTAGAAAACTCAAACTCCTAGAAAAAGATCTTCAGTTGCTAGATTCTGAGTGCTCAAGGGAAGTTACCATGGAAATCAAGAATAATGCAAAGTATGCCATAAATCCACAAGGGAACACTGAAAAAAAACCCAAACCAGTTAATCAAACTAACTTAAGTCTCTGCTATATATATATATGGACCTCAATTCACAGCAAAACTAATTGAGTTGTCAGCAAGATATATAGGTGCCACAATTTTGAAGTGATCAAAATAAAAGGAAAAACAAGAGGCACATGTAGCTGAATAGGATCTATTACCTAATGCCAACAATATCACAGAATTCCTCTTCCATGCTTCGAAGCATATAATTATGGAAGTCATATGTCAATGGAAGTTGATGAGTCTGCAAAACAGGAATAGAAGGAAGACAATTCAGCTTTAACAATACAAATCTGTTAGCAAGTTTTCACACTCCTTTCACAACATAAAAACTGAGACAGAAGAAAAACACAGCATATGTATTCCATTTCCAGTTAGTAGTAAGCCCCAATATGTTTTAACTTACCGTAATAAAGCCATGGCGCAAAGCCATATAGTCAGCTCGGTTTATAGAACTCCAGAACTGGCGACTGAAACAAAGCTGCAATTAATGATTAATATATGCACTTGAGTTTTGTGAGTGATTAGCTAAAAGAAGTTCAAAACTTTTCAAAAGATCATGTGAATCAAGGTAAAAGATATAAGATCTCAGGTATGTTGGAACTACTAGCCAAACAAGAACTCTGTGTTGGCTCCATGGATGTGACACATGGCGAAAAACGAAGGTAGATAGTCGTTTCATTTCCAAATTATGTGCTCCAGCTTGATGGGAATCTAGATATAAAAAGTTGCCATTGAGATGTAAAATCTCTGAGGATGAGCTCTTAACACGGATGCCAAAAAAAAGAGCTGTTAACAAAGAATTAATGCAACTTAAAACCTCTAGATCCATTGACTGAAAGTTTTTTTACCTTGTGCATTCCGAGTAGCCATTGTCTTAGCTTGGTTTTCCCATGCTCTCCAGCTATAAATCTGCAAGAAGCAAACAGTAGGCTTAGTTCTATCTTGAAAAAAATATTAAGTTCTAAAGGCAAGGAAAAGAATAGACATTATCAAGGATACATCAACCTTAACCAGAGCCAATGCAATAGCAGCAAAGCTGTAAAAAACATGAGTAATGCCAAGAACAAATATGAAACGGTGAAGTTGCTCAAGGCATTCATATGAAGCAAAAGATTCCTGACCCTAGAAAACCAACAACACTTACATGAAAAGTTGATGAAGTAAGGTGAGATTAAATTGAGATAAGAAGTTTTGCGGCCAAATTGGCAGGGAGGAAGGCTACCTCAGGACAGTAGTTCCTCTCCCAGGTGGTCTCCTGCTCTCTAGAAACTGTGTAATTCAAGTATTCTGAAGTTGAAACTTCCCCTATTCTCACTGTCAATCCATCCTTGCTTGCGCAAGGCATAAACCGGCTGCTCAATGCAGATTGCTTGACACAAATTTTAGCCACAAATTCAATCCAATGACCCATCAACAATGAGAGGACCCCAAAAAGCATTAACTCTGCTTAAAGACTACAATTAATCATATAAAAAAACCAAAACATCAATCCAATATCTCTCTCTAAAAGATCAAATTGCTAACCATCATGGATCTTCTCCAATGCAGATAGTAGAGATTTGCTCTTGGTTGTGCCCAACCACTGCAAGTTGAAATGATTAAATGAAAGCTTCAGCCTTTCAGGTGTTTTGAGAGAAGAAAAGAAATGGGTTTTTCTTACCTTCCCAAACATTTTCAAAGAGAGATGAAAAATGTAACCAAAGCAAACCATAACACCGATCACGCTAGCCACCGCCCAAGTAGGGGTCTCAGCCAAGGATCTTCCACCCCCGGCGCTTTCCTTCTCCATTTCCCACACAATCACAGATTGTTTCTGTTTCTATGAAACTAAGAGTTGAGAATCGGAGGCAAGATTCATTCTTTTTGACTGATTCTGTTCTACTGAGCTGATAATGGCAAAATTTGGTCAGGTGGGGTTTTGGTTTTGTGCAATAATTTGAGTCCCCTTTACATCCGAAATATTTGGGAGGCCTCAGCCTGCATGCAGTGTTACAAACCAGTAGCCTGTTGGGACTTGGGCTTCTCGTGGGTCCCAGTAACCATGTTCTTCACCAATCACAACTAAGGGAGTCACTGGCTTTTCTTTTTGGATGGGTTTTTGCCGCCTCCATGGTTGATGCCTATACAATTTGTATAATATCAAGAGAACTTTAAACATCATAAGAACATATAAATCCATAGAATATTTGCTTCTTTTGGGATTCTTTTAGGTCTGCCATATACATATGTATTTTGATTGGAATGATGACTAGAACATTACCAAGACTCGAACCTTGACACGTTAGAAATCAAACATAGGTGGTATGATTCTCTAATCACATGGATGGGGCCAAGTTATGGTCATATGTATTTTGATACAGTAACAGTTCATTAATTAGATGATTTAACGTGCCAATTGGCAATTAATTTCTGTCAAATGTCAATAATACATAATTTACTCTCCATATTCATACTCCGGATGGACAGTTGCCTTCGTTGATGTTAAATAAAGCTGCAGCGGTCAAAACTCTCTTATTGGCTTCTCTTCCACATCTGAAGGGGCAGGAATCTACT